GCTCATGTTCCGAGTGCATTGTTCTATAGCTATGTGATGAAGGTTTGCTTTCAGAAAAAGTTGACATCATCTAGGAATTCTAAGCATCAACAACGCATTATCCAACAGCGAGAGTTATTCATCGTATATGGCATATTACATCACATCTAGACAAAACAGAAATATTTAAAATTTTAAAATTGATGCTTATATTCGTGCAATTTTTAAAAATATGCGGATATATGAGAAAATCTTCCTGTTTGAAACCCACAACAAAATCAATTCAATTTTTTTTGGGAATTGCAGCTGAAAAAAATGAAGAGATCGTCAGCTTTTAGCACTTCAAGATGCATGAGTCATCGACGGAAGGGGAAGAGCAATGGGTTATATGAGACCAAATTGAACCTAAATTAGTCCGAAATTGTAGGTTCCTGATGGAAAGCCAGAACACCACGAAAAATGAATGGGTACTTCTAGATTTGCCAATGAATGAAATTTTAATTTTCTTGCACGAAAAACCTAGGGGGGAGCTCATATTTTCGTAAATACGGTACAATAAAATCTCGTTACAAAGATACCTTTGAATCCAGTAAAATAACTTCGTTACAACGAAAAATGCGTATACTGTATATTAAAGCAACTTCAGTACAGTACAGTAGTATTGTGGCTATATTGGATAGGGTCTTATAAAAACGAATTCGTATTAATCGATCATTCGCTATAACGAGATTCTCCTGTACATACAAAAAAATTATAAACGAGATTTGCAAAAATACCCGCTTAGAAGAAAATGTCCGCATGCTGAGACGAAGTCGGATATTTCTTTTCTGGCTTTCCCTTATGATGAATACTCGCTATTATCGAATATAGCCCGAGTTCTCAAGGTTCAACAAACCATAAAGATTTATGCACCGTACTGTACTAACAAGGACGAAGAATGAACCCCAGATGTTTTGCGATGACCCATCACGAACGTTTTGCAATTCGCGGAGCTAAAAAAAAAAAAAAAAGGACAAGCACAGCAGAATAAAGAGAAGATCGCTGTGCTGGAAAGCATTCGAAGCAGTGCTGCTTGTTGTAAAAAGAAAAAAGGCGCCTCGTAGTTTCTCGTCTTTCCTTCGGTTCCCTTTCGCAGCAGCAGTGTTGTGTGTTCCCCCAAGGTCTGATGTAGCAATTCTCCGGTCAGTTTTACGAATAAGAGGTGCGGAGTGGGTTCCGAATTCCCGTCAGTTTTTGTGCATCGCTCGTGTTATTCAGAGGTGCTCCTACTGGAATTTATACGCATTCGGTTTCCGGGGTCGAAGAAAAATACAGTGCTTTTGTTTTTTTTCTTAAAACCCGCAGAAAAGGAAGTGCGATCTCGTTTTCCCAAACACTCGAATTCAAAACAGTCATAGCTTCAAAAATCGCAAATCGTTATTGGACTTGGCCAATTACGATGAAAGAACGATGCATCCGAAATGTCTATATTTAAAGACTAATTTAACCAACGTAAAGAGAAATTAGATTCCGACCAAACCCACAAAATTGCGCTTATTTGAGTAATTCGTAATTGGCAATGGATGTATCGGAAACCTTTTTCATAAATGTATTCCCTCACTAAATAAATACATGCGTTACATTTACAAAATACACTGCGAAAGCGAAATTAACTTGTACAGTAATACAAAAGAAAACTAGAGTGTACGAAAACAAAGAAGAATATAGTACTGTATCACGAAAGATCTTTTCCTTTTTGACATGCCCCATTTCCGACATAGACGTAGATTTTCAAGGACACCCTTACTTGACACGTAGTTCATTTATCCGAAATACAGCAAGGCTTGCAATACTATAAAAATATTAATCGCAAGACAGTACCGTATTTTGTGCAAAGTCTATCGATTATGACACTGTCCTCAACAACTTTCAAAATTGATGTATATACAGAATTAATGCCTTCAAGTTGAATTCCGTTTTGTTTGTTTTGCAAATTTTTGTGAAATTTTGCCGACTTCAAAATACAGTATTGAGTTCAGCACACGTCTGAGGCTAGATCAATATTCGACGGAGAGCGTCTGGAAAATTTGGCTCGAATAATTTCCCCAGAATTTGGGTTCGGTAAATTATATGCTGCAGGTTAACGTTAAAAAAGTAAAATACTGTATATTATTCCTTCAAAGGCCACTTTTTTCAAATACTGTGCATAAAATACATTACATTATCAAATGAGTGAAACGGAGGAATAATTACGTAAATATTTAAATACCGTGGATGATGAGCCTTGCAAGATTAACCGTAATAATATACTGCATTGAAATTAATTTACGAACATTGCCAAAGCACGATTTTTATCAAATGCGACTAATTTGGTTTACGGCTGATATTAACAAACACGCGTCATCTATTCATTACATTAAAAAATCGGAAATTGCTAGATTATCTGCATCATATACAGTAATGAGACATGGCTTCATCAGTCGGAATCCGGAAAATTTTCTCAAACTATGAATCTATTTTTTTTACAATAATACCAAGCATCAAAAAACGTGGCATTGTTTTAGTTTAATGCTGACAAGACGTTACCGTCATCTCTTGATTCGCAACTCTATCCCATATCTGTCGCTGAAAATATTTTGCTGACTGAGCAAAACGCGTGTTTTTTTCAACGGTCGACGTGACGAGCAAAGCGTTTGCTCGTGACTAAGGGTACATCAAATATTCGCGAAACGTTTTTTTTTAATCCTGTATACAGTACTCTTGAAATTTAAAAAAGGACGCGTGCATATATTCAGTGACGAAGTACGAAAAGTCTGAATGGGTGCAGAAGAATTTTGGGTGCCCTAGACCCAAAAATCTCGCGAGGTACGAAAATCCCGCAAAATACATAAATCTGTAGAAAAGTATTGTGCACAGTTCTATGCAGAGATTGAAGCTTCAAATGAAGGCTAATTCTTTCCCAGGCTCTTGAGAAAGGTAATTTTAAACTGACAAAATCGTTCAAAAGAAACCCCCAAGGACATACTTTCAATTTAGCAATCTACAAGATTTTTTGTTCTTGTGGGGTTTTTAAACTCGAATTTTCCCCTTTGCTCGTTTCAGAATTTGTCTACACGTCATCATCTAAAATAATTGCTAAAAGAGGCTTTTTCTGATACCTAAATTCACGTTTGAGAACTTCGGGTCTTGGGCATTTTTGAACCCCGAGATTTTCTCATGGAACTTTTCAGAAAAACGTGAACTTGGTCGTGTTTAAAAGCGATATCTGTCCCAAGAGGAGAAAATGAATGAAGTAAGAGTGAAAGAATGACCTGAAAATCAAATTGACTGTGTGGCATTTATTTGATGCACACAAGAAAAAAAGAAACAAAAAAATTTGATAAGTGACAAAACGTGAAGGTCAGCCGTTATTTGAATCGTTCCGCTGCGTCACCAGGCTGAGGGACAAACGCGTCAAGCGGTTTAATTTCTGCCAACGGTCCAAAATAAATCAATTCTTATTTTAAATTTTTATTTTCATCTTGTCATACTGACAAAAAAAATTTCAACCTGAAGTGATGGAATGTTTTCTTTGGCTACTCGACGGTGAAATAACTTCTTGACCCGTCAGAAATTTCAAAGGCGGGATCACTTGAAAGAAATTGATTAATTTTCGCCAAAGGTCCAAAACCATCAGTTATTTACTCACCGCAAAAATTCTACCATCAGAATTTATTTAAAGCAGCGGTAAAATAATTTCCATACCAGTCAGAATTTCTTACGGATGCAATCATTAAAACAGACTTCCAGGGACACGGCGAAGAAAATTTCTTTACAACCAGAATACAATACGTAATCAGATTTTTTATATCATAAATTTATTTCTTCAGCTCCAATTTTTTTCTGGCCACATTCAAACATAGAAAAGAAAAAATCACATAGCTTCCCATCAGAAATACTTGTTTCGCCATAAACAGCAAAATTTTCATAATGCGAATTCTCTACCATATGTTCTTTTCGAGGTAATCTGTGATTTTATTTTGACAGAGGGTTTAATTTCAAGGGTCATGCAGGCATTATAGACCAATGCCCTGTAGTGAGGTCATAGAGGCACCTTATTCTCATGCGAAATATTCAACCGTAAATGATAAAGTCATTTACGAGCATTCTAATTACAATTCCTTAGCGCAATCAGCACATTTCAGAAAATTGTACCACAGTAACGTAAAAAAAATAAACCGAATAAATATCATCAGGCTTTTTTAAAGAAAACTAATGGTTTGTGAAATCATCAAGGCAGTAATAAGATTTTGCTTTCATTGGCCCAAATAAATGCACTGCAAGTACACAATTAACTTACGGTGAAAGAAGTTGCATTGGGTTTTAATATGCTCTACATATTGCAGTAATTAAAGAAATATGGGAGAAAGTTAAAGGAAAAAATTTGCTGCTTTCTTTTTAAAGAAGAAGGAATTTATTCCGTAACTCTTCGAACCATTTCAAGTTTGAGAACGTGAAAACATTTCTTATTGAAGAATCTGACACGTATGTAAAAGTTGAGCACTTTTTCTATTTTTGAACTTTGATGATCTCCTTTAGCACATTTTTTCAACCCTTACAAAATACACATCTGATGAGGCGTTTTTGATACACTTTCAGAAATATGCAAACTTGTATTTATGACCAGAATCTCTAAGCAAAAGAGAGAGAATATGAATTTCATTATGGATTCAATATGTCTTCAGATGAAAATTGATTCGTGAACCTTGAAGTTCACCTCTATATATCTAGAACTCGATTAACTGAAATGAATGACATCATAATTTTACACGAATATCGAATAAAAGAGGATTAAGAAAATTCTCATCAAGGGGACAAATTCTGTTTGAATGACAATCCGCGACCACTTCACACCAAAAATTCCCTTACAATGTCACCGTAGGCATATCCAATGAATCCAGTGGTCAAACTTTCACGACAAACGTTTCCTGCGAAGTATGCTACTATAGTCCACTCGGGTGATTTCACTCAATGCACTTGCCTTCCTCCTGATGAACCTGTTTGATAATTCTCTTAACTTCGGATACAGATTCAATTTAAAAAACCATGGCTTGCCAAACTTCCAACTCCAGGAAGTGGCAGCCGAATATCCTTTCGACATTCGTATTCGCGTCTGTGATCTTATGCGGTATCCTCGACAAATGCCCAACATTAGCACAACAAAATCAGCAAGCACCGCCAGCGGACGACCTTTTCTCGTCAGCTGCTCATCTCCACAAGGTTTTCTTGGCTGAGCGGAATATTGCGGAATTCCTCAAGCACTACGTTGGCGCCGTTGAAACAAAGCTGGCTCAAGTAAAAAGGTAAGGAATGGTCAATTGGCTATCGTTCGACTGCGGAATTTTTGCAGTGCACCAAAATAAGTTTGTGAAGAACCGAATATAGCATTATCCAAAGCTTGCGCAGAAAATAGATAGAAAAAAATCATTCTCGAAGTGACTGCGGCGATATTTTCCCCGATTCATAAAGCACACAGATTCCAACGCAAATACTTTCCGAAGTACAGTATTTTCATTTTCTTTCTAAATAAATATAATTTCTCCGCAGTACTAAAAAAAACATTCCATTTCAAAGCATTTTCTATGAATTATAAGCATTAAAGCCCTGAATAAACTTTAATTTGACAATTTGAAAGTGGTAGGTGAAACCACTCGATAGGTATCATCGTTCGGAATTTGATTTAATTACTTGGTCTACTCCATTCTTTGTTGGCTCGTTAAGAATAGTTACGCAGTGCTTTCATACTGATCCAAGAACAACGCCATAGAATCCCATAGATGATGATTTTTCATTCTTTCGATAGCTACTTGGCGGAATACAATCGATTGGCAGACGAAGGGGTAGCAAACGACGAGCAGTTCGTGGAAAAAATAGTCGGGAATCCGATCCACACTTTCAAAATGGTGAAACGATTCGCAGTTGATCTGAGTGCAATTTGGAAATCACATCCCGCTTTGGATCATCTATGTAAGTACTTAAAGAAAGTTTAAAAAAATGTTAATAAAGAATTGAACGTGACGGTACCCCTTTTATTCGTAGATTTGGAGTCGGAAATTGGCAGGATCAGAAGTACCAGAGTGCCCGAAGAAACGGACCTCGCGGGAGCAGCTTACAGTTTAGCTCGGGTTCATCACACCTACAACCTGAATCTTACTGATTTCACGCAAGGGAATGTCTGGGGATTTCCTTCGAAAGCTGGTCAGTAAATATGAAACTACAGTACATGCAGAATCTTGCGAAACCGGTACTGTACTGCACTCTTTCTTCTGAACGAAGGATTGCAGCAACCAACGCAAATACTGCTCACACAGCAGTTACGCTAAGTTATCCATGAAATTTATGCAGTAGAACACTCTCATTATGCTGCGTTACTCTTATTTATTTTGATTTTTGGCGATTCACATCTCGTGGAGATGCATATTTTGGTGCCTCGCGAATTTTGAGCTCGACGGGACTCATTTTTCTTGAAATTATCTCTGCCCATACAAAGACAAGAAAAAAATCTCAGAAAAAATCCAAGACAGCAGGCCGTAACTCAAAATCGTAAACTTGAAGGACAATGCGAGGGATTCCTCGTTACGGCGACAGGAAGTCTATAGAAAGTATTCTTCGTAAATGTTTGGTCTTTCTTTCGGTTCTTTCCCAAGCGTTTTTGGCACACTGCAAAAAAGTGTGAGCCTGAAAAATCACATTACTTCTACAGTAGTGCATCAAACAATTTAAACTCACAGTGATACTGTCTTGAAACTTCTCTGAAATGTGTTCGTTGGCTTTGGATTCCCATGGATATTGGTCCATCCTAATTTTTTTTTTTTTTACCTTCTTTCGGTTATTTTCGAATTGTTTTTGGAGCACCGCAAAATAATTTGCGTCATTCTTAGACCCAAATTTTTCGCAATACACCAGAATAAGTTCGGAAAGAACCGGGAAAGGGTCATTACTCAAAGCTTGCGCAGAATATGGATACGAAAAATTATCCTTAAAATAACTTCGGCAATATTTTCCCCGATTTATCCCGTACAAAAGAGCCAATGCAAATATTTTTGTCAGTATTTTTATAACAAAATTATCTTCAATAATATCCTCCGCACTGCTAGAAAAATATTCCATTCCAAAGGCGTTTTTACTATCTCATCATCTTTGACTTTCTCTTAAGTTTTACGTAACTAATACCCAACCAAATTATCCCAAAAATTAATTTTGATTTCGACCTATTGAGCACTGGAGGCAAATAACAGCTCTGGTTGTTTTTCGGATAGTTTTTTTGAATTTAAATTAGACCAGCAATTTCCGCAGATTTAGGCGGAAATAACTAAAGGGGAGAAAGCGTTATTTCCCATCTAGTGAAAATTAAGAGAAAACGTACCCCACCTACGTTAGCATTGCAATTTTAAGTTTTGATGGAAGAGGAAATCGCTCCAAAAACATCCATGATTCAGTCCGAATTCACGCATATTTAGAAATAAATCTCATCTAGAAGTAACAAGGAGAGGGAAGCTAAAAAAAAAAACGGCGGGAAATTAAAACTTGAAAAATCACAGCCACCTTGAAGTGCTTGAAGTAAGCTGTGTTCAACGATGAAGCGCTCAGGACTGTTTCAAATTCGGCATCTGTGGGGGAAACTGCGTTTACTTGCATGGGTTGTTCTCAGCATATGAGTTAACACAGAGAATGAGTAGATCAGTAGACGATGCTTTCCAATGAAGTTAGTCCTTCCTGGACCAACGGATACCCCTTCTCAAGTACTGTAGATTAAAAAGCAACATTTCGAAAGGAGTATTTTCGCATTTTGCAGGTCTGACAGCACTCGATTGTTTGTACGTCGGAAGAACGAGCTACGACCACGGGATGCATGCGAGGGCTGTCGAATGGTTCGAAGAGAGTTACCGCTTGGCAGGTTTGGAGCGTAACGCAACCGTTGATCAAAATGTCGTCCTACAGTACTGGAATATGGCTGTTCGAGCGGTGAGCTGATATATACGCGAGAAAATCGAATCGGTATTATTCCATCAACGACCGCAGCATGATTTCTGTCTGTTCAATCAGATCAAAGCACGCCAAATTCCCTCAAAATTAGTACAGTTCCACTTCAATTCTTTTGTGCGATAAAATCGCTGCGGCGCGCGCATGGTGAAAGACACACTGGGCATTGCGCAAGTTTCCGGTAAAAAATTTGCTGAGTCGAGTAAACCTTCGAGAGGAGAATGATTCACTAAAAATAAACATTGATAGTTTCCTGTTTCTTCATCAATGCACATAGCACGATGACCAATTGGCTCAACGAGCCGCGGCCACGAACGGACAGCCGGACGTGAGTTTCTTGTCGCCCCTTGAAGGCGGACATTTGTACTTGGAACCTGTGAGTCAGAAGCCTCCGGCTGAGCAGCAACAGCGAGAACTATCCGCCCCACGGAAGCACTGTGTAGGTCTAAAATGCCAGGGATGGTATGACGAGATGAATTACCACGTCTTGTGTCGTGGAAAACAGCTCTTGGTGAGTGTATATAATCATTATTAAATATGTTCAGTTTCCGTAACAATATGTTCAAAACAAAATTGTCTCGTAACTCTTGTTCTTGTAAAATCAAGACGTCAAGTCCCTATTATGCTTTGAACAGGGACCATCATGTCAGTTTAAACTGTACTCCTAAAAGATGCTGAGTCATAGTGGCTCGAGATTACTGAGAAATAGCGTGTAACGCTGTTATAAATAAAAGTTTAGAATACATTTGGTACTGAAAGGATTCCAGGAAGGACTTAGCTGAAATCTTGCTGAACTTCCTTCAGAAGGTTTACCATGGATAACTTCACCAGGATCATTGATATTTTGTAGAAGGTATGAATAATATACTGTACTACATACTGTGACACACTTGGCGCCTTTGTGAATGATTAGTTGAAATACCGGTACAGGTACTGTATTACCAAAATTAAATAAAACGGTCAAATAACTCATCTCAGTTGGGCCTCAAGAATGTAATAAAAAATTCTCAACTTATCAGATGTTTCTATGAATTTTAATGCGCTCTGTTACAAAGCGGTCTAAAAATATATTCTATCAAGTCATCACTCTGGTGTGGGTTAACATTGAACAGGAAATGATGCACCGGTGGCTTACCCTATTTTATTTCATTTTTTATTTACGCCAACAAACCCCCCATGTGATAAATTGGAGAAGACTGGGATGTAAAATGATACGGAAAATCCGTTGAAATTATCTAGTACTTCCCTATTTTTTAAGAAAATACTGCATCTCACAAAGAAGAAGCATGATCACTCAACCGATCGAAATATGAACCCTAGTTGAGTACGGTAGTAATGTTCTGTTCAGTGAACCTGAAAACCATGAGGAGTACCAGTCCAAGTAGTACAGTAATTGAATCCTCGTATTTATTGGATTTCAAATAATAGCCGGCAGTTTGCAGGAAATGCTCTGAACACCCTCTTGTCACACCCAACACATTCTTGTCAGGCAGCTCTTCTATTTTCAATGCCGTATCAACGAGCCTAGCTTTTTCTCCTTCTAGGGTAAGCAAGTACAGTACTGTGCAGTACGTCAATTCCCACGAACTCAGAATCTAGCACGAATAGGAGTAAAAAAATTCGCTGGGAAAAGGCTCAAGAGGGAATTTCCGATTGATTTAAACGTTCCGTGATATCAAAACGTTCTCCGCAAACTGAAAGTTAAAATTTGAGAATTTCTTGTAGACGGACGAAACGCTTTCCTTTCAGGTAAACATAGAAACAAAAATTCGAAATAATCGACTTAGATCGACTCGTCAAGTGCTCGCGGGGCAATTAATTTTTAGAGAAGTACCGAACATGTATTGTACTTCAAGGCCATTTCAACGAAGACGTGGCATAGGGCAAATTATTTTTTCGAATGATTTCCGGGTTTATTTTTACCTTGGAATTTACTATTCACTCAAGGCTGGCAGTAAAGTTTTGTCTGTATGAAGATAATGAAGTTCCAGAGTTGGATTGCTGAAAATTAATATGGGCTCAATATAGCCAGAATGCTGTACTCGTTTCAGCATGCATCTAGAAAGAATTTTCTTAATTTACAGCCTGACTCGGACAACTTCTTACTCACCTACATGAAGTTTCGGCGCAATTTATCCACGGTCAGCGTGACTAATATTAAATCTATGGAAACTGACATTAAACATTCATCAGGATATTGGGTCACTTTCAATCCTGCAAATTTAAAGCAGAATAAGGTACTGTGCCCAATTAGTCATTCACTTATTTTTAAAACACATCAATTTACATTTTTATTGCTTTTCTCATCTTTCTGGGTCAAAGAAATAATAACCATAATTCAACAAAAAAATTGAGTCATGAAGGTTTTAGGAGGGAAAGTCTTTGAGTTACTGTGCTTTTTGATACAGTTTTCGGGAATTTCAACACGTTCTTTGGAAAAAAAATTACATAGAGATGTACAGTATTCGACTTACTGAGGTTCGACTGTATTATCACAAAATTACTTCTATAGCGTCTGTTCATCCATACCTATAAGAGCACTTTTGAACCAATCCTTCTACTTTTTTTCCACGGAACGTGCAGAATTAAAATATCAGCGAAATATTTCTCTGTAAAGTCTCGTCTCCCAGAAGCAAGGCGCCTGGAATAAAAAAAAAGAAGAGAGAAGCCAGTTGGCAAACAAGATTTTGCACCAGCGCCCATTTATTCTAATCGCTTTTCCCTCCACACGTTTCCCAGAGCGACAAGGCGTTGAGCAAGCTGAAATGCTACCTGGAGACAAAAAACCATCCATTCCATGTGCTCAAGCCAACCAAAACAGAGGAACTCCATCGCAACCCGGACATCATCCTCTTACACGATCTTCTCAGCGACCGGGAAATTGAGCACTTGAAAGCTTTGGCCGAGCCTTCCGTAAGTTCCAGCCCATCATATGCTTAATACAGTATTAATTATTAGCTAATGCGACATTTTCTTCCCCGATAGGAAAAAGGCTAAGCTTATGGTGACAACGAAAGTAGATGCAGTACTGTAAAAATACTCGGAGGCATTTTCCAGGCGAAATATATACGCCTGTCTCCAAGTGTGATTATACACCAGTTAAAGGAAATAGAAGTACACCTCTGCTTTCAATTTTCCTCAGAATTCAAGGTGTAAATGTCATGTGGTTTACATTCTGTATTGTAACTCGTCTATTAGTCTCTTCATGGGTATATTTCGACAATCGGCTTCATAATTTCATCTCAAAAGATTTCAAGCACGAATATTGTTACATTGAAAAGGTTGTTTTGAAGCAAGATTCCTTGTAACGACTCTCGCGTTATGCACCTGCAGAATTAAATTGCGGCTTTGCTTGTTGGAATTTTAGTTGTAATTGATTAAAATACGCACTAGGCACTAAGTTTAAAGCAAAGAAACGAATTCCGGGTTTCCGGAAACCAATCCAGGGGTCTTCAAGCCACAGCTCACGGTACAAATTTTCTAAAAAGATCGAAATCTCTTCTGGTCACTGAAAAAGGCGAAAAAAATATTATTCTTTTCAAGAATCTCACCAACTTCGAATATTGTCGCAAAATATGTCAAACAGCACATTATTTTACTTTAGATCACGTATTTAATACGGATGGAGAAAAACCTTCCCAATGCAAGCAACAACACACTAAAATCTCATCACAACAAACTTTTAAAGACTTCCAGAGAAAATTGTAAAACTGAATAAGTAGTTACAACCAAATTATAAAATTAATGGCTGGAAAAAATGTTCAAATCATGCCTGCATATAATCAGTTATGCTGTATATTGCTTTTCTGGCATTCTCAGAATTTCATTATTGTTTGAAAAACGGAGGGATCTGAAAAAAGCTTCAATCATGCATTCCATGAGTTGCATCAATCTCTTTATTCTTTTGTGCAACAACTTGGAAGCATGTTTGTCATTGATTACAGCTTCCAACCATATTAAAAGAATCATCAGTCAGTCACATTTGGGATCAGAAATTCCACACTTGGCCAGCTTTAATCATGAAATTTTTACCTGGATGAGAATACAGTACATTAAAAATTCCTCAAATACGTTAGCTATACAGTGCTGAATTTGGGAAGTCCGTTGTAATGAGATTGTTTCTAAATGTACTGTACGGGTTTTTCTTGGACTGGAGATACAATTTTTTAGACTTGAAAAATTGTTCCATCAAGATTTTACAGCATCACTCCAAATTTACAAACAAAAAACAGCCTTCCAAAAAATAGGGAAGAGACTGGGTTTGCGCAGGTCGGGTATAATGACAAGCGATCTTTGCAGAACCGGGTGCACCCCCATATACCATTCAACCCAGCAAGGGCACTGAAAATTACGAGTCAATGACTCAACATTTCTTTGTCAAGATAATGACGTGGTTAGTTCGGCTGCACAAGTTGCAAGTTTCCGGTGATTACAAGCGCAGTAAAAATGCTTTGCGTGCGTCGCTGCATTTTGAGTCACTCTCCCGGGAATTCCTCCGTTGTTGGCAAAAAATAAGGTCATCTTCAGTTCGATAAGCCTCAACGACATTGAATCACCGTAAATTGACTTTGACTGCAAAGGCGATTCGCACGTAAATCACGCTTAATAAATTCTTGGAAGAGAGTGCACAAATCGCGAATGAGTGAATCTTCCCGACACACAATAGGAAGTAAGTTATGATTCGACTCAGATCAAGAAACGCGAAGATAGAGCGCTTCTTCAGGGAAAAATTGAAAAAAGCTCAAAAAATGAAGACATATCGCACGGATCGGATGATCCACTGCAATCCCCTTTCACTTTTACGCCAAGCACAAATTTTCACAAAATTTGACAAGAACAATTTGTAAAATTTCGTAACGCGAATGTGAGCGGTATTTTTAAAGATTTCTCCGTTTAAATCATGGCGGTTATCTTAAAAGGGACACGTCATATTCGAGCAAATACAGTGTAATAAAACCCAGATGTTGAACGTCACTAAGTCGACTTCGAGCCAAACCAACTCAGCGAAGGCCAGACCCGAAGAGATACCAGAAGTACCCAGCTTAAAATTGACTTCATATCGAACTGAACCCAACATAGTCTAAAATAATCCAACCTTCTTGTCTGGAATCAAGGTGCTCCTAGTTCAAAGGAGACCGTGAGCAGTCCGGCATAAAGGAACCGAGGACTGGATCGCCAATAGAATTATTCCGAACGTCGCTCCGCAACTAAATTCTTCCTCACAACCTTCCTTTTCATCCTCATTTTAATAAACTGCTCCCCTTGAAATTCCAAAAAGGAAAACTGCGTTCATACAACGGAAAACTGCAATAGATAATAAAGCATTATGCTCTTCAAGCGTAGCGGAAAAAGGATTTCGCATTCGAAGAAGCTAATGCGTGGTTCGTCAGAGGGTTTCAACGCGACTTTCATGACACTCTATCCCCCAGCTTTCTCGCTCATCCGTGACAGGAGATTACGGAGCTCACACGACATACATTTCCGACGTGAGAACGTCCAAGAACTCCTGGTTCGACGATTCCGACGACCCCGTCGTGGCGAAAATGACCAAACAAGTAGCTCGATTAACAGGCCTGTCCATGGAAGGCGCCGAAAAACTACAGGTTACTGTCACGACCTCTAGGAGGTATAAAATACCCAATAACGTTGGGAAAATTCCTTTCAGATGGCCAATTACGGGCTCGGAGGACACTTCCACAGTCATTACGACACTCTCTTCTACGGGAAAACGCCGGAAGCGGTAAAGCAGAATGTGAAGGTTAATATTTCAATCAAGTACCTGATCAGGTGAATTCACTTCTCCAGTTGGCCTTAGTTCCAGAGGAAAACTTGCGGTACGGAGATCGAACAGCAACGCTTATGTATTATGTAAGTACTGTCGGCATAAGCAACGAAAAAACCCACATTTATCCCACTAGAAGCTAGTAAGAATGTCAGATAATAATCTTCAAGTCGTTTAGCCAGCGTGACAATGATAGAATGAGGTCCGTTCATACACATTACTTATTTCGCACGCATTGAATCATAGCAGATGAAAATTCACAAGTGTATCAATTACTGACGATGAATACTCCGAACAGTTGACAAAGAATTTACAAAAATTCCACACACGAACCGTTGAACTCTTCTTCATTTAGTGACAAAGATAATCGTATCGCACGTACACTACTTCGAAGAACGGCATTGACATTAAATACGCAATTCCGACTTCCATTGACATCTATTCGTAAGCCAATCATTCACGATTCCAGTAAGAAAAAGGAAAGTGAAATTCGGATGTATCCTTTAGGACAACTCTCAAAAATACAAGACTAAAGCATATTCACTGAAGGGTTAAAAGGACCGACCGCAGCGTCTGAAGCGTTTCCTCAATTTGTTTCCTTTTTCGAACTTCCCGAACGAATACACTTCGGTCAAATAATAAATGATGCAACAAGTGGTTTTTTCATGACCCATCTTTCAAGTTGACGGATGTGGCACGCGGTGGAGCAACGGTCTTCCCCAAGCTGGGGGTCGGAACTTGGCCCCGGAAAGGCGGGGCAGTGTTCTGGCATAACATCAAGAAAAACGGAGAGCAAGAACGCTTAGTTCTTCACGGGGCTTGTCCTGTTGTTCACGGAACTAAATGGGGTAAGAGTGACGTGGTCACGGGGATTTTCAATAATTGATGTTTTCACTAACAAACGAATCCTCCCACAGTCGCCAACAAGTGGATCAGAACCAAAGATCAGGTCTTCAAGAGGCGCTGTTCTTTGGACCCGGCACAATAGCAGCCTGCAGTAGCGGTTTCCAGCTGTCTTTCATTCTGCAGATCAATCCTGCAGGCTGTGATACTATTTTCCGAGTGCAGTGCGTTTTTATTTGTACAAAGCCTTCGCTCTTAAAATCGGGAAATTCGCTCTGGCATTACTTCGTCGACGTTCAATCCTGCTTGAAGATAAAAGAGGGCAATGGCGAGAAATCCAGCGTACTGATCGATGACGACAGTTCATTACTCATAAAAAATTAAGATTAGCTCACTCGTCGAGCAAAAAAAAAATAAGAAATTCACCACGTAAGAATCAATAATATCGGATTTTAGTGCCCTTGGGAATTTATTAAGATCGGCCTTCAACGTCAATAACAAAGCAAATATTGCCCCTATCTCCTCCCTTACACTAACATCCGTTTAAAAAAGCAATAGAATGAACTAGCAATTCAACGGCTGTACCAAATCTTTGCGAAGCAACGCGGAGACCGGAAAAAGTAAATTCTTTCGAACATGGCTCAACAGTCATAAATCGGAGGTGCGCGTAAATTTAGCGACTGAAAGGGCACAATACATGATTTAACAAGCAAACCACAACGTTGAACGGATAAAAACCAATATTTGGAATTCCAACACGAAATAATCCTCGAATTCCATACGCAGCTTTGCACAAGCACACTCCATGACACGACTGATTCGCATTCATTTCCATCAACACGGTAAGAAAGACTTGCGCATTTCTGATCAGATCGGGGAAAGATAGATCTTGCTAAACATTTCTTTTCCGCGGCTAATCCACCGGACACGGTTAATAAACTTCTAAATCCAAGGCATGGTTACCTGGTCAACTCTGGAAAAATCACTGCAGCTCACAATATTAAAATAACATCCTCTCATTTTAAGATTTTGCAACGCTGGGGGAAGCTCAAGAGGGCATTCGAAATAGTTTGTTTAATTCAGGACTTTGTGTTCCCACCAATGGCTTCCTTCGACTGACAATAGTAAAAAATAAAATGATAAACAGCATGATTACACGCTCCTATGACAAATACCAACCCAGATCGGCATCTTCCATCAAAATGTAAATAGTCTGGAGAATTAACTTTTGATATTTAGCATTCAGATGCTCTAGAGAGGCTAGCAGAAAAACGGTAGTAAATTGGATGAAAATCGTACATAGGAACGCCATTTCGAAAAATCATTGAAGGAAGTCGATTGTATTTGAAGGTATTTAAAACTGGTTCGAAGGAGTAGCAAAACGGAAGAAAAAATTCGAGGGGAAAGCTATCCCCAGTTGTCCACATTAAAACTTATCTCCACCAGGTTCGGTCTCCGCCTGACAGACCCAATATGTCGAACATGAAGCAAGCAATTCACCTCACAACAGCGAACAATGGGATCTTTTTTTCGTTTTCGGCTTTTTATCGGGAGACCTTCGATTGATCTGCTGCACCAGGTTGTGGAAGATCTACGAATTCAATTTTTGAGTCACGCACCAGAATATCCCACGAGAGGGCGATTCTCAACTCACCTCATTGACGTTAACTTTCGCTTTCGCTGAAGATTCCAAGAAGGCGCAATTCCACGACCTAGCTAAGTTCATTCCTTGATCTTTCCCAACGACGCGTTCGTCTTCCAGATCACACTTGTTTCCCACCAGTATCATTGGAACTTCGTCCGTATCCTTAAATAAGAAGAAAAAATGGCGGTAGCGACTTTTCTTCTGACGAACACAGCGATATACCGATGCAGGAAATATCTCACCTTTACACGAAGAATTTGCTCCCTCAAATCTTGAAGGTCGTTGAAGGTGGACTGGGCAGTAATCGAGTACACCAGAACAAACCCTTGCCCATTTTTCATGTACAAGTCTCGCATGGCGGTGAATTGTTCCTTGAAGATAACGTTTACAATACCAAATATAGCATACCCTGTAAATTTACTGAGCCAAGGTAAATGACCAGAACAACTTACAGTCCCAGCGGTATCCAATATTTCGAGCATGCATTGCTGACTGTCAACTTCGACCTGCTTGCGGTAAGAGTCCTCAATGGTCGGGTCGTATTTCTCGACGAATATTCCTTGCACGAATTGAACGGTTAGAGCGGATTTGCCGACACCACCACTACCGAGAACGACTATTTTGTACTCCCTCATGGTTGAGATGAACTTTTCCAGGAAAACGAACACGGAACAAAACAGCCTTCCGAAAGTAACGGCCTAGGACGCGAACAAACACAAGAATTAATCAAGCACTTCTAGCAACATGATTCATGAATTCACTGACAAAAACGAACACTTTCTAAACTGCGGTAAAACCTTAATAATAAAATCAAAAAGAAGAAAATTCACGGGAGCTTCGACTCGCCTACCCCATCCAGGAGAGAAACGCATAACCTTATTGTAAGAAATTCTCCCACTCCGCAACAATCGACCTCAGCGACGCGACCATTCTAATATAAGAAGTGAACCCTAGTGCTGAGAGTCGCCATCCCCCAATCCCTGGAATCGAAGACATATTGAGCGAGTTCACTTTGCCGAATGGCAACATTATGTGACCATTTAAATTTCCATTATTTTCAGTTCGTCCCATTTTCAGGAGTTTCGTAAGACAAGTGAGCATAAAATCCTGAGATAAATTCTGATGTCTTTACTTTTCCTATATTATTCTGATAAAATCCCAATAATTAATGTATGCTGAGCAAGTACAAGGAGATTTCCTGATTTATCGAGAGAGGGCAAACCAACATTCATCGAGCTGTACACAATTTTTGGAAATGATCAAACAAAGAAAAAATGTGAGCATGAGTCTAAAATAATCTAACCTGCATCTAATTTTTATAATATCCGCCATATTTTTTGCTCTAGAAGGTGCCGTAGAAGTCTTTCCGGCATCGATACTCCTAAATAATTGCAGTTTAAGTCACTCACTGAAAACCGCTAGTGACTCTGAGAGATAGTGGCCCTGGCAAGCGTGGCGTGTTTAGAGGCAGTTGTGGGTGGAAGCCCCGCGCTAGAGGTGCCGTGAAATCGTGTTGTCGTATGGTTGCAATGTTTCGCGGGTAAGGAATTCACTGTCGGGACTCAGGAGTGACTTCTTCGCCTGATTGATCCCATGCTGGGTTACCGTAATGCACTTCACGTTTTGGTTTCCTTGTATTGCGAAGCAGTTCTTCGTGAGTAGGTTTCAATGAGTGTGATCCGAAAATCTTGATAACACTTCATCTGCGTATCTCGAATAATCCCCCAAAAATTGTCCAGGTGTGAGAAAGCTGCCGGCAATTCACCCGTGTAGCTCACCTTCGTTATGGTATGGTTTGTGAGATTCTGTGATTGAAGACGCGTTATTCTTCAGCTGCAAGCATGTTCATCTATCTAAGTAAAAAGGTAAGCATAACGTAATTATCACCGAAATCGGCGCTTACTTATGTAAATTTCTGCAGATTGCCATACCAAACAATACAAAGTTGAAATCATGTTCCTGGAGTCGAAGTCAAGGCTACATCGCCTGTGGGGGAGACGATGGCTTGCTGAAAGTTTTGAAATTAGATTCTGGTGAGTGAGTCTTCGTGCATTCTACTTCTTGATTTAATTTTGGCAATCCCCAGGAAAGGAAACGAAAACTCGGGGACTTGCCGCACCATCGAATTTATCTATGAATCAAACATTGGACGGACATAATGGTCAGATACAAGTGGTCACATGGAATGAAACTCACCTTAAGCTCACATCAAGTGATTCCTCTGGATTAATTATTGTATGGATGCTATATAAAGTGAGTCATCTGAAAATACTGGAATGAAACAATCTAAATACTTCACTTATTTCAAGGGCTCATGGTTCGAGGAAATGATCAACAATCGCGGCAAGTCTGTTGTAAAAGGAATGGCCTGGAATTCAGATGGTACTCGTATCAGCATAGTTTATGAAGATGGTGGGTTCCGTAGCTCATTAAAATTTCGTTCGTAGAGCTGTTTCAGACTTGACTGCTGTTTTTCCAGGTGCTGTAATCGTTGGTTCAGTTGATGGCAACCGAATCTGGGGGAAAGAGATCAAAGGATCGCATCTGACAGGTGTTGAATGGTCTCCCGACTCGCGGCTTCTCTTATTCTCTATTCGTGGAGGAGATATCCATGTTTATGATAATTCTGGTGGCTATGTGGTGAGTTACTTCTTAGATTTTCATGTACTTATAACATGTCACTGAACACGTGACACAATTGTTATAGACGATCGAACACTTCTTTGGCACAGTATTATTGTCAACGCAATCCTTGTACGAGAAGTAACCCCTTCGCCAGCCCTGAAAAGTGATATGAAAGTGTATCGGTGTTGGGATAGCCATCAACCAAAGTTTATTGCTTAAACTTCGGTATGAATTACCAGAATGTGAAGCACGAGCTCGTCATCGAAAATCAATACTGAATATCTTTCGAATCCACTGACCGAAGAAAAGAAATGTTTCCATGCTAATTTTGTTATTGTTCGGTGGACACATCTCTTTCTCATCGGGAAACTCCAGTTCTATTTTACGTTGGCAAAACTTTCGGAATGGATCAATCAAGATTTTAAAAAACTCTGCATTTCCTATGCTTTCTTTTTTTATTTCATATTTTGTTCTAAGTTACTGTCGTTAATCAGAATTTTTAAGGGAAAGGCCATTTGTAATCTCTCCTAATTGCGGAGAAATACGGTATGTGTCGCTTTGGGAGTAACTCAGTATGAAATCATTACTGAAAGCATTTTGCACTTCCTCCTATAGACAAAAGTTAACATCCAATGCTTGCCGAGTGGAACCAATGGAGAAGCGCAAGTCACAGTGCTGCATTGGTACAATGGTAGTCACGGATATGTGGAAGCGGATTGTCCCACTCTAGTCATTTGTTATGACATTGGAAGAATGCAGCTTATGAGAAATGAGAACGATGACAGTAAGAACATCGCAATTAATGCTTTGCGAAAATGAATTCATCGTTGTACGTGACTTTCAGTGCCTGTTCTCGTGGATACTGGGATGACCATTGTTGATGGTCAGTGGAATCATAATGGTAGCATAGTAGCTGTTGCTGGTTCACTCATGCTGAGTGGCAATGAAGGTGACAAGGAATGCAATGTGGTACAATTCTATACACCCTTTGGAGAGGTTGGTTTATGTTAATTCTACGTGTAATAGAAGATAATCCAGGAGCTATTTTCAATGCTTTGCAGCACTTGAGGACCCTGAAGGTTCCGGGGAAAAATTTGACCAGTTGCAGTTGGGAAGGAGGTTCTCTTCGAATTGCATTAGCAATCGATTCTTACATATTTTTTGCCAATATTCGTCCGGACTACCGATGGGCCTATTTTTCTGATACTTGTGTTTACACCTACACGAAAGCCGAGCAGACTGAGTTATCCATGGTTTTTTGGAACATGAAGACGAACGACGTAAGGGCAATTTAATTCCATTCTTCCTTCGTCATTTTATGTACTAATAACACTCATTTCCATTAGGTTCACACCAGGCAAATCCGATCATTAATTGCGATCGCAGCTGCTGGAGAGCATTGTGTCATCGCCACAAGGCTTGAAGATTCTTCGGGGCAGAATGCATTGCTGCTTTATAACTCAATTGGTACTCCCGTTGACAGCAAATATATCGACATTGAACCGATTGCAGTCACAATGACAATGAATCTTGTCATCGCTGCTTCACGGGAACAATTTTTTGTGTGGCAATATCGGACCCCCAAGGCGAAGTCATCAATTGAAGTTGGGCTGGGTCGTGGGGAATCAAGACGTGAAAGAACTTTCCATATCGATGATAACCCTTCAGGGTTTTCCGATCCTATCGCCGAAGCCCAAAGGATTTCGGGCGGAACTTTAGTGAGTTGAACATGTTTAAACCACAACTTTAAAAATTGGGAATAAAATCATATGTCTCGAGTGTTTTGGATCTTGCACTATTGAGATTACGTGGTTCATTGCTGCTCTTTGTTGCAGTAAGTCACCAATGTGAGCTAATGCACTTATCTGAAAATCGCTGTCCATCCACATTACTAATGAAGTCATCGTGTACTTCATACCGTAAAAGCGTTTGATTGATTCGTTATTCTCCTTTTTCACTTTTTTTTCTTTTTTCCAGGTTGCATCTCCGCAGCATAAGGTGAAGGCATAATTACATAATATTTTTGAAGCGAATGAATATTTATTTGAACATATAATTCCAGCCGACGAACGATCCGATTTGCTGTATGACTTGCTCGGAATCTTTACTTGTAATTGGTCGGGAATCTGGACAGATACAGCGATACAGCTTACCTCAAGTGGGACTGACGAATACGTATAAGCTGATCTCTCGACCATACAAACTAGCACTGAATTCGAACTCCAAGTAAGGAAATTGGTTTGACGTGTAAAATTCGTGTACAAATATTTTAATTCAATACGGAAGAAAAATATTTAGTAGTTCGAAAGAGTTCGTGTTGATGCATTATTACCATTTTTTCAGGCGTTTGGCTATCATTGATGTCACAGGTTTGCTAACACTGCTTGATTTGGAAACCAGAGGAACAGACGTACAAGGGCGAGAAGTTCAGGGAGATTTCCTGAAGTTTGAAAGGAAAGACGTGTGGGACTTGTGTTGGGCTTCTGATAACCCAGAGCTATTCGCAATGATGGAAAAGACAAGAATGTACATAATCAGGAACCTCGACCCTGAAGAACCTATTGCTTCAGCTGGTTACATCTGCAAATTTTCGGATCTTGAAATTACGGCTGTTCTGCTGGATGAGTTGATGAAGGATCCGGAACATCCTTCGGTGGAAGACTGGGTTTTAACTTTGGAGTCAAAATCTTTGAGGGACACCCGAGAATTGTTGGAAAAAGTTGGAATCAAAGAGGCCAATGCTTTCGTCGAAGAAAATCCGCATCCTCGTTTATGGTGAGATTTTGTTATAATTGAATGATTGTTATTGCTCTAATGGAAGCTTTCGTGTTGTATGTTCTTAATTCTTATCTCAAAATGTCCCTGTTCTAAGGCGACTGCTGGCGGAATCTGCTTTAAATAGACTGGATTTGTCAACTGCGGAAGCTGCATTTGTTCGATGCAAGGATTATCCTGGGATTCAATTCACGAAGCAGTTGGAGAATATTCAGAGTGAAGCTTTGAAGCGTGCTGAGATTGCAGCGTACTTCAAGCGGTTTGATGAAGCGGAAAAAGCCTATTTAGAAGCAGACAGAAAGCAAGTTTTTTTTTATTCATGCTTTGAACTTTTGAATTTTTTTTAATTCATAAATTTCTCCAGAGATCTGGCGATTGCCTTGAGGCGGAAATTAGGCGACTACGCAAGAGTTGTAGTTCTGTTGCGCACGGCGTCTGCTGGCAGCGATGTTCAAATGGAAGAAGCTTGGAATGCACTTGGTGATCATTTCGTTGACCGACATATGTGGTGAGTCGTTTTTTTTTCCTCTGAAGATTTTTTTCCTATACGTTAATCTGACATTTTTCATGTTCATTTCAGGACGGAAGCCGTGGATTATTTCCGCAAAGCGAGGAATCACGAGAAGTTGGTTAAATGCTACTACATGCTCGAAGATTACCAAGGCATTGAGAATATCCTAATGAAAAGCCTTCCAGATGGTCATGACATGATTCCCGAGATCGGGGACATGTTTCAAGCTGTTGGGATGTGCGAGCAAGCTGTGAAAGCATACACAAAGGTCTGTAGGGAAACAAATTGTTTCATGTTGGCGTTTTGAATTTAAGAAATTACCAGGTAAAAATTAAGTTAATGGAATAAACATTTTCATAGGCTGGAAAGATCAAGGAAGCGATTGACTGTTGCGTGAGTCTCAACCAATGGCAGCTGGCCGTAAAATTGGCAAAGGCCCACAAGGTTCGAGAAACGGGCTCCTTGTTGTCTCATTATGCTCAGAATCTGCTCGACAAAGACCAGAGAATGAAAGCGGTGCAACTTTATCGGCAGGCCGGGCATCCTCTGCAGGTGAGTTGCTTTTTCTTACGTTTCTTTCACTTTTTGCATTATTTTGTGTCGAATAATTTTTCCTATTGAATTATATTTTCATTGCTGAATTTCATCAAGTTTTACTCGTTCTTGTAATGTGAAGGATTTCAAATGTTTCAGGCTGCTCTTTTACTAGCGAAAGTAGCTCACGAAGAAGCTGAGAAGAAATCGGCGACTCCCCGAACCCTAAAGAAGTTGTATGTTCTCGCTGCCTTGCTTGTGGATGAGCATCGTTCAAACCTTCGTGCTTCATCCGGCGAAAACACCGCCTCGAAGAGTTCCATGTTGCTTGGCTTAGGGAACGAATCAAATGATTCTGACGGCTTGGATTTGGGAATGGCTCTGGGAACCGACGGACAAGTTGCTGCCCCGTATCAGGTTTGTAGTTCAACATTTCTACCCTTCTGTTCGTCCAGATAATTGCACAATAATTTAAGAGTTCCACGCATAATTTCTTGTTTTTCTCCGACTTTGTTCCTGACAATTTTCAGCATTTTTTGCTCAATTTGATGTCTGCTGCCTTCATTCACATTTCTCGTCTTCAGAGCTAAAGTGTCTTATCCTGAATCGCTAAAACCGTGTTATGATCTTTTTTTCATCATATATTTAAAATTTTGATGTGTGTAATTACGTTTGTTTCATTCATTTATTTTTCTTCGTGAATTTGTTGATTGATGAATTCTGTTTTGCAGGTTTCGTTGCTGGAAAATCCTTGGCGTGGAGCTGAAGCGTACCACTTTTTTCTGATGGCGCAGAGGCAATTGTATGAAGGTTATGTGGATGCTGCTATGAAAACAGCTTTGGTCGTTCGTGGTTATGAAGATTTTTTGCCGAGTGAAGATGTGTACTGCTTACTCGCGCTTTCGTCATGTGCGAACCGAGCTTTTCAGACTTGTTCAAGAGCATTCATAAAGCTAGAATCACTGAAGGAGGTGAGACATGGTGTACTTTTGCCTGCTTTCCCCGCAGCACAATGTCTCCGTGCATCAAAATTAGAGGTCTCTTATAGTTATACAGTATTGATTCTAGTATCTGCATCTGACAGGTTGACCCGACTGAAAGAACTGCTTACGAAGATCTGGCCATGGATATATTCGTGAAATACAATCCGAAAGATTCGAGAAGCGCACGAGCTGAATGTCCTCATTGCGATACGCGGATGCCGGACACGTGAGGAATTGATGAGCTTTGATAATATATTGCTTCAACTGAGATAATATTTGCTTTCAGGACAACGGCGTGTCCGAATTGCGGCGCAAGGTTTCAAATATGCATTGCAACTGGTAGACCGCTTTATGCAGCTGATTCGTCATCGACGTGGGTTTGTAAACGTTGTAGGCATCGAGCATCTTTGGCGGACATGGCTGTTAGACAGACCTGTCCATTGTGCCATGCTCTGAATAATTCTGGGTAAATCGCAGGAAGTCTCGAGAATTACGTACGAGTTGTAGTGGCTGAATGAAAGAGGAGTATCCTATCATGAAATTATTTTTCGTCGATACAAAAAAATTCATCCCGTTACGACCAAAATTACTTGGGAAATTAGTTGGGCTTTTTTGTGCCCAGAAAAATTTCTGCAGAAAAACCGTTTTTAATTAATGTCTGAGGGATCTGTCGGTTATGAGAATCTGGAAAAAAGGTGAAAAACTTCGTGAAGACAAAACTTTTTGTTGTACAAGTTCTACCCCGTTGACCTTCAAATTTTTATATGGGATCTTACCGAATTTTATTTGGATTCTCATGATGATGGGCGCCAACAAAGGGAAACTGTACATGGAGCTGTTGAAGATAGCGGAGAATGGCTAGATACGTTTTAGCAAATATTGGGGCAAATTACTAGCTCTAATTGGGAGATCATCGCCAACGCATTGAAGCATTCTTCAAAAGTTATTCATGATTTCCTTGTAAGGTAACTTCAGAGGATCTGAAAATTTCTGATCGCGCTAAATTTCATTTGATTTTTTTTTTAATCAACAAAATTGGATGGAAAAATTTCCACAATTTTACGATGGACTGAGTGGAAAATTGTTCGTGGTTTTAGGACTTCTGAGAGATTCGACGTTGTGTTTTTCCGGTGATCATTAACTTCGTGAAGTTCAAATATTGACTCCATGGCTTGGGTATCCTCAGAAAATCTGAAGGTATTGCTGAATCCACCGACGATCTATTCTTAAACGGTGTTCCACGTTTTCTGAGATCTCAGCGTAATTCCTTTGAAAACGATATCAGTTCCTCGTGTTTTGCCTCGATGTGATGTTGATACAAGTGTTCGGATCTCGAACTTATTTTCGGGTGATGCTCGTTCCGTCCTGAATCTCAAAGATTATTGCCATGTAACGGCGTTTGAGCACATATTTTGTGATGCATTTTTCGAAGAATGACATACGTAAGCCATCCGTCCGAAATTGACGCCACGTCCTCACCATTGTGCTTGCACAAAAATGTGGTACAAAGCATACGCAAGTGTTGCTTCACATTCTGTTCGTTCATCGGGGTTTCGAGTCATTTTTTTCAACAATTTTCCTTATAATTTTCGTTTCAGAACTGAGGCAGGTTGAAAAAGAACTCGTACTGTATCCGCGATGAAAATTAAGAACGCGTTGAAAGGCGGGGAGAAAAAGACTAAAATTCCGGCGATCGCGAATGGGTCCATTGAGAAGGCGAAATCTGTAACTCCGACCAAGTCTCCTGGTAATGTTGTGTCCGCGAAGAAGAAGAAAAAGTTGATCGCTGCGATGAATAAATCAGCATCACCTTCGAAAAAATCACTCAAGAAACATGCCTTGGCGGCTAAGGAAAATGCTGTGAAGGAAGAGGCGTCGTCTCTCACTGTGCAGCAAAAAAAGTCCCTTGAACTTCGCAGCTTGCCTCAAATGCCGGGGAAAAGAAAGAACAAGAAGAAAAGTTTGGAGGGGAAGGTGAAGAATCTCAACTTGAAGAACCTGACCTTGGATAAAGTTCTTGAGAAACGGAGGAAAAAACGAATGAAGAAGAAAGCCGCCAAAAAGGAGAAGTCTGCAGAAGCGGAGCAAGTTGAACCGAAACCAGAGGTCGACGGTGCTGTTGTGAAAGCAGAAAAGGCAAAACGCGTCGAAGAGAAGATTTTGCGTCGCCATGAAGCGTTTCAAAAGCATGCGATTCAGTCAATTCTGAAATCCAACAGTGCGCCGTCTGCGGAGCGATTGCGGAAAAATGTAAGGGATTTAAATATCTGCCTTGTTCCGAAAAGTCTTCCGGAGAGTGAAATTTTTTGAGTCCCTGTAGAAGTAACCCGAAGTAACATCGCTGCTCCCTGAAAATCTGCTTCTATGTAAATAGATATATTAATTTCCAGGCTACAAAAAAGTCCTTTTCACGGCTCGATTGAGAGGTTCAACTCATTCGAGAGGTCTTGTTTCACTGCATAGTAAATTTTACATTTTATTTTTTTTCTTTTGCAAATTCGTACAAGACCTAATTTTTGAAAATATTTTGTGCTTAGCTTTGTATTTCCTCACCTTACTACTGTATCTTTCTGTAGATTGTAAAAGCCGTCGCTGGAGTTTTGGCATCTGCGAAAGTGGCAGATGGTGGAAATTTGGACCTTTTCAGTGACGTTGACGACATGAAAGTTTTCCTGCGGATGGGTTTTTTCAAAAATCCAGGCATCAAGCGAACCATCACGTTGTAAGTATGCAAAGTTTTTCGTTTCTGATAACGAAAGGTTGTCTAGTTTCTTCAAGAACGTACGTCAAGGAGTATGTTGAAAAAGTTGAAAAGATAAATGGGCAAATCATAGCAAATGAAAAAAATGTATAAATATTTATCTTTTAATGTACACTACTGCGTTTAACTCAGAATTGGTCATTTTTCCAACTCCTTGCCGAAACTGGGCAACCGTCGTATTTACCGCGAAGAGTAATTCTAACGAATGACGAATTTTGATCTTATTTCTTGAAAAATTGTGAGTTTTTCAGCGAAATCGTAATGCATGAATTTATTAGATTCACATCTTAGTGATGGTTTTCTGTAAAACTCGTTTACAGTTTATTACCTCATCCACATCATCTAAGAAATAAAGCCGTTCGACCTGCCGAAGTGTGCCTTTTTGTGAAAGATCTCCCTGATCACCGCAACGATCCAGAAAAAACGGCGGAACATTACAAGGACATTTTTAGTGAACTGGGCATTGACGACATCACACAGGTGAGGAAGCTTTCAGTGCTGATCAGCTTATTGAATCGATTTTGAAGCTAACGTAAGTATGTTTTTCTAGGATATTTAATTTTTGTCTACGTGGAAACAGTTTTACTTCACCCTAAAATGAAATCGATTGTTCCAGATAATGACTACTGGAGAAGTGAAGCGAGAAATGAATCACTTCAAAGTCAAAGCAAATTTGGCACGTAAATACGATGCGTATTTGGCTGATAACGATGTGAAGCCTTTCATCACTAATGTGCTGGGAAAAAATCTTCGTTCGAGCGGAAGGTGAGTATCCCGCCCTGTTTTGATTTCCCGTTTCTCGGCGCTTTCAATACTTCGGATTGAATTGATTTGGAAGTTTCAACTTTCAAGTGCCTTAAAATCATCCAGTCACTGATTCACTGTAATGAAAAATATTGGGAACTCGGTTTTGTTTATTGTCTCAAGCGTCGATTTTCAACGGAACACTATTTATTTTTCATAAATCAGGATGGTGATGCCGGTAAACATGAAGGCAAAAAATTTGAAAGAGGAATTATCCAAGGCTTTGTCGAGGTGCTGCATTCCTTTGAAAGCATTTTCGGATCAATCTTCAGCATACGTGAGTCACTTTTTTCTTTGACAATATGGGCGTTGTGAGAAATATTTGATTACTATGCGTTTCAGGTGGGCAGAGGATTTCAAACTGAAGATCACATCGTCGAGAACGTGTTGAAGGCTGTAGACGTTTTGAAGCAATCGCTTCCTGGCGGCTGGGCCAACGTTCGGCAGTTGAATTTGCAGTCTGATCTCATGACACTTGCTGTTCCTATTTATCAAGCACTGAGTAAGTTTTTTATAACTGTGAGAAATGTTGTGGTACGTGCAAAGCTGAAGACGGAAACTGACTGGCAACTTTCCGTTTCATTATAAAAGAAAGAACCGCTTCAACGCTTGCGGCAATAATTTATTTCCAGAAAATCCTTAATTCTTACAAATCCGGCTGAAGTATCTGTATTCAAAAAATTATAAGTTCTCTTACATTCTTTCAGTGAAGCCTGAAATTCCAAGTTGCAGAAATTGAGCTTAAACCTGCATACCCATAAATCGTTTTTCCTGTTGAAAGGAACTGTTGCCAAAGGTTTCACTTCTGAATGGAATTAAAGAATTTGGTTCTTTTCGCCCTGGTTTCTGGAATATCCGACAGGTGTCTCCTAAATTACCGCTGTTTTTTTGCCTGAAATTTTTATTTCAACCTGGACTGCTTTGAACTGCTATCAGCGTATGATTTCTCAACTGAAATTGAGCAAAACAAACCGTGATAACGTAGAGGCGGCACATATGTAGTAGTAAGAACAATCAGTCGGAGGTATCAGGCGTTTATTAGAAAGAGGAACGAGGAATATCCTTTTTTTTTTCACACGCCAGTACTGGTAATTTTCGTCGTAGAATGTGACCTGCTGCACATAAAGTGCAAAAGAAAATTTTTCGGATGATCACTTGAAAACTCTCTTCATCTAATAGGTTCAGGAAATGAAGTAGAAATTGACCAAGAGGAATATAAGGAGGACACAAAAACCCCAATCGTCGATCGTTTGTCGACAAAACCCGGTGTCACAATTTCCGTCGCTGCTTCTGGCATTGTCGAAGTGCGTGGTATAAAGGAGGAGCAACAAAAGGAAATCAAGCTATCGTCACCGAAAACTTCTATTCCTACACTTGCAAACGATGCACGAGCCAAAGTCGCCGATTCTCCATCACCAGAGCCGAATGAAGACGATATTGAGTTGGACGAAGAAGAGCTACGTCTTCCTGGCAAACTAGTGAAACTCGAACACGCCTACCTGAAACAAAAATTGGCTTCATCGTGTGAAAATGTCGATAGAGAGAATGACGACGACAATGATGACCCTGCCAATACGAGCAGCAGTCTTGACGGCATTCGTAAACGACAAAAGCGGAAGCGAAAGGTCAATTTAGGTGAAGCGCCTGCCGATGGGATCGAGGAAAGTGAAACTTCGGAATCTCCTCGACCCCCGAAAAGTCCGACTCCGGATTATTCGATCTCAAACGTTGGGACGCCACAAGTTGTCACACCATCGAGAAAGAACAAAAAGCAGCTTGTGAAATCCGAATTTTCTGGGAAAGTATCTCCCAAGTTGACCCCAGCGTCTTCCAACAACACTCCGAAATTAATTCACGAAGGTCCGGGGCAAGATTTAGGGAATTCTGGGAAAAAGAAGAAGAAGAATTCTCCGCTGAAGACGCCGCTTATCACTTGCAGTACTTCGAATGCTTCTGGGAAGAAGTCCAATGAAAAGCTTGTAGCTGAAAAGGATTCTGCAATCAAAGACAAACCAGTCAAGCCTCAAAAGACCCGACCGAGAAGCATTTTGAAACCGAAATCTCCGGTACCAGCTCGACCGACACCGACGAAAGGACTTGGTGAAGCTGCGAAAGGCCGACGGGTTCGGTTTTCTCTTCCAAACGACGCTCAGAAGAAGAAAAACAGGAGAAAGACCATGTTTTGAACTGTGTGAAGAAAGAATTGTGGCCACACTTCGTTTCACCGAGCATTCGTGTTGCCGACGGACGTTCAAAACATAATCTTGGCTCCACGTCCTCGTGACTTTCATTGATCCGTTTCGTTATGTGGAGCCTGGATGTGATTCGTTATGATGCCGTGAGTAGCGAGTAAAGGAGTCGACGAAGTGAAATTTCTGTGAGACTTTCTTCAGAGCTTTACAATCATGCACCTACGCAAGATTCCTTAGAGTAGAAAATAAAAATTGAATAATTGAGTCCAAAACCGTTTCATAGTGGACGGGGACCAAAATTAAATTCATTATACGAAGAAAATCGGTGTGGACAAGACTTTTGTAGAGAGTCCATCTGTATCTTGAGCTATCATATGAGACATTTTGTTCTAGATATTGGCAACCCGGGACACTGGTCCGTATAGTTTAAGTCAAGATTTCACCCAGTTTTTTTGTGTGACAATTTTACCTTCCTGAATTCAAGCCCATTTAGTATTTCGCCGAATTCTAATCAATAATTTATTTTTGAGTGATCCACAGTGAAGTGTTCAACAACAAAAAATAATTATAGTAGATTAAAAAATTAATCTAAAAAACCACGTTTTCAAAAAGCAAAAAATAACCTTAAATGTGGTGCCCATCTATTTCATTTGTATTTCACTTCTTCCCAACAATCTCCATGCGCACCACGTTTAAGGTTATTTTTTGCTTTTTGAAAACGTGGTTTTTTAGATTAATTTTTTAATCTACTATAATTATTTTATTCTTTTTAAAAANTAGTAAAAGAGCAGCCTGAAACATTTGAAATCCTTCACATTACAAGAACGAGTAAAACTTGATGAAATTCAGCAATGAAAATATAATTCAATAGGAAAAATTATTCGACACAAAATAATGCAAAAAGCTCAAAATGGATGCCGTTTCAGTTCGACTAACATTTTTGTGTCTTGGCAGTTGGCACTGACAAAATTTAAGTGGTAGTCAACAAAACTGTGCGGAAACTATGGAACACGTGACTATAAGTCCGTCAATCGGAGTTTCGATTTTGTTGGAAATTTTTCAGAATGACCAACAAATTCTCTGATTTTTTTACTCGAGTTGCCCGAATGTCAGAGTAAATTTAGACACGTACATTTTCAGGAATCAGACTTTATTCCTACTTTTTTCGCAGATAAGATCGTAATTACAAATTAGGATCAAATCGCGTCACATAGCACGCTATTCCTCAATCATGATATCTACAATTTTCGTCGAACGTCGCAATTTGCAAAATTCCTTCCACGCGTTAAAAAAAACCAAACGAGAAGTGAGCCACTCCAAAGCTCCTTCAACAATTCGCGAATCCAGGATTTTCCGCTCATCTGAAATGGCGAATTGAAACAGAGAAAACAGCGCGAATTCAGCAGAGAGCTTTCCTTTGGCACATTGCTTCAACCTTTTGTTGTCGCACTCGTTGACCGTCACAATTTTCGGTCCAAATTAATGTCATACGGCTTTTTTTGGCAAAATTAATGCGTTGTAATTTTATTTAAATCGGGAAAACTTAAACGTTCCGCTTGTATTCAAGTTTTTTTTTTTTGCATCAGAGCTCAACCCATCTCAAATTGTTGCTTCTGGTGTCCAAAAAATTCTTGTGCAGTGGAAAGGATGACATTTTCAAGAATTGTGAAGGCATGTCACGAAATTTTTTCTTTTGAATGCCTTAAAAACTCTGGCTAGATGTTGCTGTTTGTCATGAAGGTAGGTAGCATGCATGAGTCTACTGAGGTACGGTATTCCGGTACGGTAGTTTGGAATCGGGGGGGGGGAACTAAAATGCAATCTACTGCACAACAACTTTTTGGGCACACTGCACATGTCGCTTGAAAATTTTGAATCAAACGTCGCAGAAAGGGCTGTCCACATTGAATTGTCAACTCGAGGTCTTGATAGATATATAAAACAAATGGAATGGTTTCTGAACACCGGCTCGGCAGTTGCCCAACCACCACTGTTTAAAACGTGGATGAAACATCCAAAAAATTATGCACTGAAATAATTGAACCGAGATTCTGTTCTAGAACGCCGGTGTATAGGAAGAACACCCCTGGTACGTATTCGAGAAATTCCAATTGATCAGCGAATGCCGTTCGATCGCTCCTTCGACCATCAAGCACACGTCGCAGATTTTCTCCCCTTTTTTTTCGCAAAGAAATTTCAAATCTTTGCCCCTTTCCTCCATCAGCTCCAAACGTCGGTATTTCAAAAAAACAAAAAACTTTTTACAGTTAAGTTGCTTTGGACTAGCTCGAAAGGAGGACAAATGAAATCTTCCAGCTCGTTTTCACGCGAGTCGTCGAGTTCGGGGTTCGACGGATCTCCTTGAATGTTATTGAGGGCATTTTCTGATCGCTTTCTTTTGCAGTCGTCGGATTCTTCTCATCCATTCTTGCTTCCACTCGAAGACGATGCTTCTTTTGTCTATCATAATGCCCTGGTTGTTTCTTGAGTGTCTTTCTCGGCCCAGGATGAGGTAAGTTCTGTGAACGGAACAGCAGAATCCAGAGATGGGAGAAGATATGTATATTGCATCTGAAGGTACATTATTTATACAGTAAAATCTCGTTGCAATAAACTCACAGGGACCTGATGAAAAATCGTTGTACAGTAACGGAAATTGCATTGTATTGAGACTCATGGTTTTCAACAAATTTTAAATTGAAATCCTGCGGGAAATGGGTGAGAAATATTGTAAAACGCTTCTACAACAGATAACTTAATACATGTCGCAATTTCTGTCTCTGTGATGAAATTAAACGGAAAATCAGCTGTCTTTCTACTGATTTTCTGTTTGTTTTTTAAATATAACATTGAACAGAAGTAAACGTGGAAGAAATGCTCTCTTCAAAATGATCATTAATTCATTTGTGCTAGTTTCTTATTTAAAATAAAAGAATATTATTTTCCACATCAAACTCTTTAATCTAATAATAATTTAAGAAAAGCAGAAACTTTTAAGAATTTCAATATGTTCAAGAAATGTGATGGCATGCTGTGTATTTTCTTCACTAAATTTTTTCTCCGGAAAGAATTGCTTTTTTATGGATTCTTAATGTTACAGAAGTCATATTTTTTATTTTTCTACCAATTAAATTATGAAATAATCCCTATAACCCATGCACAGAAAAAAGGGTTAACGAATTGGTTACATTGAGATTACAGCTTAAAATAATATTTTTTTGAACAAAGGCCCTACGGAGAAACTGCTGGGACCAAGAAAACATTTCTTCGTTACGAAATTCGTTGCAGCAAAATGTCAATGCAACAGCATACACTATACTTTTCCCTTCCATCAGAAGAAAAAATTGGAGTGAGCCTCAACTGCTGGCATGTTTTTTTTTTCATATTTTAGCCAAAACTTTTGTTCAGGGTTTCTTGGTGTAAGACTTATTGATTAATTATTAAGCGTAGACTAATACTGTATCTCGTTTAGTCATCCGGTGGACATATCGCTTTATTGGTGCTGCTTTTTCAGTGAGCAAAGACAATTGATCAAATTATTCAAAATGACATCCTTACCTTCCGACTCTCATACTAGGACATTTGCACGCCAAAGCATTCATAGACACGGAAACATAACTGGTCCTTCCTCGGAGCAAAGAAGAATCCAGTGACTTCTTGAATGTGTCTCTGATCAACACGGTAAATTTGACTCTGTTCCCGGCGAGTTCCCTGTTCTGTACAAACGCCAGAACAGCTGCAAAAAAAAAAATTCGTCACAAAAATCCTCAAGAAGTACTGTTTTCGACTGATGCGTTGATCGAATCGCAAACCATTCATAATTTCCCGATAACTCACCAAAATCGCGTTTGCAGAATTTCTTCACGTTCAGTCGCCGTTTGTTTATCTGACATCGTTCGCAGGTCCCTGGTATGAAAAGGAAAGAAAACGTGAGTCAAAATTGAAAAAAATTATTAGTAAAATAAAAAGATAATAGCTTACCGTCGTGTTCTGAATATTCGTTACTGCTGCTGATGCTTGATTTCTGCGCTGGACTAACCGTTTTTCTTTCTGGCATCGTCGGTATTTCTGCGAAAGTACGAAAAAATATTGAAAAATTAATCTACTGCTCAGTACTTCAAAATATATCCATACTTTCGTGAAAAATGAATAACCAGCAATTCTAATTTGGACCGTGATTCGTCATTTTCTCTAAGAAAATCTTTTTCTTGAATCTGAGAATTTTCCCGCATTTCCACACGCAAAAAAGGGCAAAGATCCTTAATTATCGCTCAGGACGGGCTAAAAAGTTCCCAGATTCGAGGTTTTGAGCTAGGAAAAGCAAAATGAATACTGTAATTCCATTGAGTTCATCAGCTTTTTTTTTTTTAAGCGCGCTAAAGATTAGACATCCGATTTTTAAAGGAATCTCCAAGAATTGGATTACATTAGTTGTATTGGGTCAAAGTTGTGAACAAAGCGCTTTTTCTTTTTCTCGTAAATTATTGGTCTAAAAATTCCGAAGCCCACGCAAGGCTATAGATTTCATCTTCTCCCCATCAATCCAAGCGTCGAGAGAGCAATGAAACAGTTGAAACAAGGAAGTGCTGCTTATCATCACGGACTTAAGAACTTTTCTGCTCCTGTGGCATAAATGACTACGCTATTCATCTCGGCAATAAAACGCCGGGAAACAAAAGCCCGCAGTGTCTCGTTCATCTCGGACAATGAATTCCTCGAGTGGAATCGTGACGAAGATGACCACTGCGAATATATAGGCGGCAGTTATACGAACGAGAGAGCAATGACTCAGCACAAGTTCAAAACAACTGTACAAATTGTGCCAGTGCTGCAATGCATTGAAGATCCCAAGGGTAGAACATCAATCATTTTTTCTCTGCATACCGATTTTTTTTTTTTTGTTTAGTCCCACAGGGTTCTCTACCCAGCATGTTATAGGGATTCTGTACAACGAAATTATTTCTGGAACGATTTTATTTATAGCCCTTATTGAATTTCGTCATACAGAGAGAGAGTTCACCTGCATAAATTAATACAGTATACATAATATACCAGGGTTGGTGCTCTTGCTGGCACCATAGCGACATGTCTAAAAAAACATAGAAATTTAAAACAGAACTACTTAAAAAAGTTAAAAAAAAGATATTATAAATATCCGATTTAATTACGCTGTTATCCCTGGAGTAACTTAATATTAATTACATAATAACGATAAAAATAAATTAGAAATATTAATGATAAAATTAATGTCGTCCAAACAAAATAGAAATTTAATTTAATAAATTTATAAAAAATTAAAAATTAATTAATAAGAGAAAACTGAATTGATGCTTGTTTCACTGACAAGAAGCCTAGAAGGGCTCGACGGAAATTAACTCGATCATAAGGCAACAGCAATTTTATAAAAATTCTTATAGGTGATACATAAATAGACATATGCAGACAAACCTAATACTTAGCTATTGACCCTTGAAATGACAGAACACAGCTGATTTAGCCAAAATTTTTATAAAATCAAACCTCATTATATAAGTAGAACTTATTAAAGAGCAAGGAAAAAATTCGAGTCACAAAAAAATCTTTGTTGAAGGGAAAGCAGAAGAATCACAGAAAATTGTAATTGGTGATATTCTGAGCCTTGAATTACTTCTTACGTGAAATGATAGGATGCTAAACATGAAGACAAAGGCTTCATTTGCCCTATTAGTCTTTCAATTCTTTTCAAACGCGCACAAATTTTAATTTCTTTTTTTTTGTGTCACTAAAATAATAGCCAGAAGGCCTCCAGAAAATTCATACTATGGAGGTATACAAGGGGGAAAGCTTTCCAGTTAGGATGATTTTTAATGCAATGTTTATACGGGAATTCAGAAAGTGACTTTAAAAAATTAAAATAGCAAAATATTCAACTTTGGGAGGTTTGAGTTATTGAGGTCACTGTTCAACTTAAAACCTCACCCAAACTAACTCCCAACCTCATGTCTTCGCAAATTAAGGAAATAACTTGACCTGCTGGTACCTAACCAAAACTAACACCTTACATAACAGTAAATTCTGTAATTCAACTTAACATTATATAAAATAATTTAAGACTTAGCATATTTTTTAACATATAACCTGCCAAATAAAGCGTAACCTAAGCTAAAACTCAAGCAAATGCCCAATCTAATTTTGCCCTAACCCATTAAAAATTTGTTCACAGAAGCAGAGCTGGATTGCGCGTGCAAATCTTCTTTCTTTGAAGAACACTAACTAAGTATAGCCAATGGTTTCTCATTCTTCCTCTCACCGAAAAAAAAAACCATTTAATTTAAAACATTGATCCACAACTGGAAACGAACACCGTTGAAGGAATTTCGGGATAAATTTACCCTTTTCGTCTTAAAATAATTGTTTTCAGATTACTGTTGGAATTCGGGATGAGGAATAGCTCAACAACTGTTGCACCGGCAAGGTAAAATTTTTTGACTTTCTCAATTCCCCACTGAATGATCGCTTTCGATTTCGCCACACAAAAAAAAGCGTGACTCGCGCATTTTCTACAGATCATCAACGAACTGATTGATTGATTTCATTGATGGATAAATAACAAACAGTATCACGGACAACCACGACAGCATCACGTCGTATGAATTCGAAGCCTAAATAGAAGTGAACTTGAATTTGATGGAATGCCTGGGATACACACTCCGTGGGAAAATACTCACTGACACAAGGAGCAATCGGTGATCGACTCTGCTGATAACCTTTGGCACACCTGTTGCAAGTCAGTCCGACGACACCATCTTTGCAAGGACACTGTCCAGTGACTTGGTGACACACTGTCCCCGATGATCCGATGAGGTGGCATTCACAAGCTGGAAAAAAAGACGGAGAAACGGTATTTTTTCATCAAACAAAATTAAGTGAACAGGATTTTCTTGCGTATAATCCTGAAGTCGGTTATTTGTGAAGACTTTTTTAAAGCAATCGATGTTGCATTAAGACGCCCAATACAAGGAACTCAGTGTCAGAAGATTTTTCTTCATTTAATTACGTCTAATTCTACCCGAAAACAGTTAAAAAACAAGTCTTCATTCCTTTTTTTATTCAAAGGTTTCCAAATGGTTTAAAAATATAATAAAAGATTAAATCGAGGCTCAATAGTTGTTTACATAGTACTGTATTTCATTTTCATGACAAAAAATTTCAACAAAAGTATGTGCTTAATTTTTTAAGGCGTGAAAAGTGCATTTAGCAGTTATCCAAAATAACTAAAGGTTAGGTGCAGAATAATTCAAATACTGCACAAGTGAGAATATCAGTTGAATTATATCTATGTAAATTTAGTCACAAAACATCAAGTCGTAAGGCCTTTCGGGCATGAAGAAACTTTTCTGAACTACAAGATTTTTTAAAGCGAATGTTTGGTTTTAGAGGTTATACTACTGCATTTGATCTTTTTTTTGTGGAGACACGCATTTTGTCGTTCGTTTTGAATGAAACTGATGATTGAAGGGACTCGAAAATAGGACAAATTGCAATTCCGAAACTTTCTGGATTGGGCTAAAAATGAGAATAGCGCGATAATCCTGCGGAAAATTGAAAGATTGAAAAAGTACGAAGTCGGAGAACACTTTTGTAGAAATTGCTTCTCGAAAAAAAAAAACTCAAAATAAAAAATTAAATCCAATATGCGGAAAATTTGAAAAACGAATGTCTGAAATACCCCATCGAAAATAAAGCTCTAATACTGTAATACATTCCTGAAAGTAAACCCTCAACATATCCAATCGAGAAAAAAAACAGAAAAATGCATTCAAAAGTGGGGAAAAAAGAAGAAAAAAACTGAGCTCGCTGAAAATAATTTATTTTCATATATTGTTCGAGAGAGGAAATTAATTCGTGTCCGCAAAAACTGAGACCAACTGCTGATGATGTTTATCTCCAAAAGTACTCGGATCCCCTTTTTTCAAGCGTTTTATTTGATTATGACCCTGCTCCCTGATTTGTTCCCCAGTCAGTACTCGCATGTCTTGCCCGCCTAGACAGACCAGGAACTGTTCAAGGTGCGGTGCGCATTCCAGTTTCTCACCAAACAGAATGGTTCCCCCGAAAGTCCCAGCCCGAAAATTATTAATGTCATCTCAAATTTTAAAGGAGAATATCGAGTAAATATCTCAATTGAAATACTCAAAGAATTCCGAAAAATGAAATTTGAGGCCAACTGAGATCAATCGCCAAAATGGGCGAGATAGCGCTACAATTAATTTCAATATTTCAATTTTTAATTCTCGCATAATCAGCTGCAGTTTCCAGAGCCGACATGTTTTCAATCGAAAATCAATCTTTTCTTGAAAAAAAAAACTGCACCATAAATAAAGCTGAAAGATCATTTTTGAAGAACCTTTCCAGGAAAATTTTTGAAATTACTCTTGATATTACTCTTCATCAGACTTGGCCATGATCAGTTTTCTGCTTCCTAAGTGGCACCTATTCAGTGAGTCAAATCCTTGAAGCTTACTGTACTGGCATGAATTTAACTAGGTTCATAAATTTGCACAAATTACTTTTAGTCCTTAACAAATATTTTCAATTGTAATTACTCGAATTTGGACGACAAAACAGCACAGCAAACACAAAAAAGCAACGACCAAAGAAGAAAAGTGATCATATGCTCTATCAATAATGCATTTTTAGCAACATAAACAAAAAATCAGACTCCGTAAAAAGTTTTCAACAAGAAAAACTGAAACCCTGACGTCTTTGACGCGACTTGAAAATTAGATGAAAATGATTTGTATGATTGAACTATCGGCTGTGTTCAGTAAAAAAAAAAATCGCATTGATCAAAATAAATAATGTACTTCACTTTACCTTTGCATCCATAAGAATTCAATAAATCAAGGGGCAACGTACTTTTTTTTAAACTGTGATATACAAAAAAAAGTTTGATTCTTATTTTCGAGTAAATTTGGGCACTAAGAAATATATTTTCTTTGCAATTAAAAAAGCGTACAACTCTGGAGCAAAAAGTTTTTAATAGTGAAACTGAGACGCTGACGTCGTTAAAGCGTCGTTCGTCGCACCCGACGACAACTGAGACGTCAGTGTCAACGAAGATCGACGCGGGCGTCGACCGCGAACCGCGCCGTTCATCGTCAGCTGACGCTCAAAAGTCACTGACTCGACGACAGGTTTGCGACATTTTTTCCGCCAAAATTTTCGAAGATCTGACACTTCTTTTTATTTTTTTTTCGGAATTATTTCAATGCAAAGACCCATTAAAATTTTTTTTATAAACTGAAAATGACTGACTCTTGCTTAAACAACCTGAAATAAAATATTCCACCGATTTTATTGCTCAAGGACCGACACTCTCATAATTTTAAAATCATTTTATCGATCTTCAAATTGCGTGAATTGAATCTTTTCAAACTGAAATTACTAGGATTCATTTACAGCGCTGAAGCGAGCCACATTTTTTGAGAAAACGAAAAGAAAATCAATTCCGAGGAAAGAAAAACACACACAAAAACATTCGAACTCTTCGATTAATTTGTTTCTTTTGGCTTGAATTGATTTATATAACGACTTTCTTGGATCCTAAAAATGTTCCTCGGGGAATCAAAGATGAATGAAGTTTCTCAAGTTCGCTAAAAATTCATCTAATGTTTCTTCTTCTTCAAGAAACCCTATTCTTTCGATTTCAAAATGCGTTTATTATTTTTTTGTTGCATGCATATTCTTTTCAAGCTGAAGCTTCTTGAATCCGCGCTAGCAGTTGGAACAAGTCACTTCATAGCCGAAAAAATGTCGATTGTTAATTTAACACGTTTGGAAAAATATGCCAAGGTCAGTGATTCATCCGGTACTAGTTTTCGACCCACATTCTTACGTATCAGGGCGAAATAACATCATTACAACATGTCAAAGTCTAATGAACAGCGGAATGCGTCGACAACCACGCCTTCAATTAGAGTTCGCAAGTAATAACCCAAGTTCAGCATTATTATCGTTCATGCTTCAATACTTACTCAATTTTGAAAAGATTTTCAAAAATCCTTTTTCCCGGCCTGACTTATTCACGCGAGTTTAAAATTTTAAATTATGGTGACTTTCATTCCTGGAGCTTCGAAAGGACATACTGTATAAAATATTTGTAAAATTCATTTCAGGCTTGAAACTCGAATCCTACCCTCGTTTACTGAATTATATCGATTGAAACGGAACACATTTCCGAATGTTCCATCAGCATTATTCTTCCCTATTTTTTAAATAGTCAAGAGCCAAGAGAAAATTTTACAATAATTTTCGGAGAGTTCGCAAAAGAATTATACTTACAAACACTCCGTCGTGCAAGCAATCATAGACTTTCTAGGCCAAAGGTACGAAGTGAGTCTAGAGAATAAGAAGTCGGTAAAGCCGTGTTTGAACTCTCAGAGGCATTGTAATGATTCAGGGAGAAAAATTTAATTACCGAGGAAAACTGGAGACAGCTACTTCAATGCAGCAATTAAGCGTTCAGAAGGAAGGAGCGGCTGGGATTATTTTAGGCCTCCATTGTCCCTATTTAACGTCGGAAAAAGATTGAAAAGGGTGTTCTGTAATTACTATTTTTTCCTATATAAATACCAGCGATAATTTATCTAAGATAATATTTGTACAGAAAGTAAGCCATCATTCTAGGGCACTGAGAAAAGAGTGTAGAAATTCATTCTCGAAAGGAGACGAGGCCTTACATTTCAGGGTTGGGTAATGAACTTCAATTTTCATCTTTGAAAAAAAGTGAAACATGGCATTCTGATTTTATGATGACGCATTGATTCAAATCAACTCATGCTTGTGAAGTGTACTGTATACATTTTTTGGACAAATTTCAGAGTAAATCATCAGATGAACGTTATGATTCCACGCAAACAAAATAAACGTTTTTCAAACATTTATTCAAACTTGAGCAAGAATGATTTGCAATTAACTCATAATTATGGTATAGCACTCTTCCAGACAGGTGTCTGGGTAAATTATCAGAAAAACGTCATGATTCCATGCAATCAAAATAAACGTTCGTCAAACATTTATTGAAACTGGAAAAATTGCTTCGAAATTAACTCGTATTTATGTATCGCACTCTTCGAGACAGGTTTCTGGGTAAATTATCAGAATAACCTTTTGATTCCGTGCAACAAAAATAATTTTCGTCAAGCATTTATTCAAATTGGAGCAAAAACGATTTGCAAATAACTCGTAATTATGTATCGCACTTTTACTGTAAAGTTTTTGAGTAAATTATCAGAAAAACGGTTTTGATTCCATGCAACAAAAATAAATGTTCGTCAAACATTTATTCGAACTGGAGCATTGCGTTTTATCGCTTCAACACCTTATTTGCGAATTTGGATAGAGAATCTGTTTCGACATTGTGGATAAAGTAATGATTCATTCCAAATTCAAGCACAAAAAAAGGGAATGCGACGAGAAGGAATGTTCGTCAAACATTTATTAAAACTAAGGCAAAAATGCATTGTTTTTTATCGCTTCCACACATTATTCGCGAATTGGGCTAGAGAATCTGTCCGGAAATTGTGGATGAAGTAATTATTTATTCTAAATTCAAGCACAAACGGGGTTGTGACGAAAAGGAATATTCGACAAAAATGTATTGGAGTAAAAATGCACTTTTTTTTCATCAGTTCCACACATTAATGGCGAATTGGGGTAGAGAATCTGTTCTAAAATTTTGAATTGAGTAATTAGGGTTTTCTTTATTTATGCAAAAAAGGGATAGTGACGAAAAGGAATGTTCGACAAAGATTTATTAAAGCTATGAGGCAAAAATGCATTGTTTTTTTATCGCTTCCACACATTATTCGCGAATTGTGGTAGAAAATCTGTTCTGAAATTGTGAATAGAGTAATTATTTTTTTCTTAATTTATGCATAAAAGGGATAGCGACGAAAAGGAATGTTCGACAAAAATTCATTGGAGTAAAAATGCATTGTTTTTTCATCAGTTCCACACATCATTCGCGAATTGTGGTAGAGAATCTGTTCTGAAATTGTGAATAGAGTAATTATGTTTTTCTTTATTTATGCATAAAAGGGATAGTGACGAAAAGGAATGTTTGACAAACATTTATTAAAACTATAAGGCAAAAATGCATTGTTTTTTCATCACTTCCAAACATTATTCGAGAATTGAGGTAGAGAATCTGTTCTGAAATTTTGAATAGAGTAATTATTTTTTTCTTTATTTATGCAAAAAAGGGATAGTGACGGAAAGGAATGTTTGACAAACATTTATAAAAACTAAGGCAAAAACGATTCCTTTTCGCCACACATTATTCGAGAATTGTGATAGAGAATCTGTTCTGAAATTGTGAATGGAGTACAGTAATTATTTTTTCTTGATTTATGCACAAAAAAAGGGATTTCAAATGCTTTTCAACTCACGTTTGCATGCTTTTCTGTGGGTCATGGGTTTGGTCTCGTCCCTGTAAAACCCTTCTTTGCAGTAGTGACAGTGTCTGCCTGCAGTGTTGTGCCGGCAATTGAGACACACACCTCCACTCACTCGTCCAGACAATTTGTACAGTTCCATGTTGAACCGACACCTGCGGGCGTGGTTGTTGCAGTTGCACGCTGAAATTCAAGAGAAAACCAACAAAACGTTTTTTTTTAATTCAATCATCCTCAACAGTTGAATGGTGTCAACCTTGAAACGATTCCAGTGGTATTGAGATAAAGACTCTTTTCTGAATCGAAGTTCTGAGCGACCTTGCAGAAATTGAGACCCTTGTTCCTTCTGCAATGCATATCAAAAATTATCCTTGTCCGTTTCTTGTGAAGGTACTGCTGTACATTATTTTTAAAATTTATGTTCACATCAATTATGAATTAAGACTATACGAGTATTTCTTGCACGTTTGACGTTTCAAAAGCGTCGAGCTTCTTGCTTCCTTTTTCAACAGAAAATTAAATTGATATCCTGTTTGATGCATTTTTCAAGTCAAGAAAATATAAAATGTAGGACTTCTTCCCAGTAATAAATTTGTTTGACGAGCTTGAAACTTTCGGAGTAAAGAGCTACTGGTTCTTTGAAAAGCGGGAGAAAGAGAGAGTAGTAATAAAAATCACTTGAATATCAGCTCTTTACAGGATTTCCTAAAACCTTATTTACAAACTGCGGCGAAAATGCATCTAAAAAGCAGGCGTAATGCAGTACTATACAGTACAGTACAGTAATTCAAAGAGTGGAGTTTAAGGAGGATTTTACTTTTCGGATTTAAGTTTAAACGACAGTGGTGCCAAAAATCTAAATTTCGAGCAAAAACTAGAAAAAAAATACGAGGGGTGATTCTTAAGTTTTTTTACTTCCTGCTAAGTATTCAAGTTCCTGAGTCGGAATTTTTCAAAACAATGTGGAATCGATAAAAATTCCTTTGTCTCTTATCAATTGTCGAGGCTATTTGATTATACAGCCTCAACTAAAAAACCTTCCGAAATTGATTTTTCAAAATTACAGCATCAAAAATTGTGAAGATTAGAATACTTGAATTATTCGCTAAAAATCAATTAGACGGTTTTTTGATCAGTAGAAATACTTTGGTTTCACTCAGAATTCGAAAAATTCATAAAACATGGCTAGTATAGGGCACCTGTGCCAAAATACCAATTTCCAACCGGGAATTCCAACCCATGTTAGCTTTAGTTGTTGGGAACACTGAAGAGCAGTTCCAGTTCATCTGAAGACAAAAGCTTGGGCGAAAAAAAAAATGTAGACTCACAATTTTTCAGAAAAGGAAAGTCGATCATAAATATTCAGGCATAACTGAGAACCTCAGGTGCATTGCAGTAAAAGTAGGCTCAAAAAGGCGACCGTAAAGAAAACCGGATGTTCTGGTTCCAGCCCGTTTCTTTTTTTAATTTTTTTAATCGCAATCTTTCTTCTTTTTATTTATTTTTGTTCAACTGTAGCATATCAGGGGTTTTACAACCATCACCAGAACCTCCCAAAGCTTTAAACGACCCCTTTCCGAAACCACGTAAGCCATAGTAATGATATTTTTTCGCCCACTTTCTTAAAACCGCTGCGGGGCAAAGGATTTTTTCCCCCCAAGAGCTGGTTTCTCGTAAATTCAGAGGAAGTACTTGCTCTTT